TTAATGTTAATTACGAAAAATTTTCAATTTTATGATATTGATTTCCAAAGCATCCAACTGAATAAAATTATTAATATCAGAAACCGCAATGAATATTTTTGCTTTTAATCTTTTCACAGTTGATATTGAATTTTTTGGGCATATACCAGTTTAAGCCAAGCAACACATTTCTACATACGCTTGGGAAAATAGCATGCCCTCAGCAATCACTTCTGCTGCCAGTGTGTAAAGGCATCTTTGACCTAGCTTTTGGCTACGACGAAAATTTTAATAAGGTAAGCAGGGGCGAATAATAGTGCATTATTAATTAATATTTACATGTACTAATTGACTGAACTTGATTTGAATTCACAGAGTGCGTTGCTTCGTGTTTCGCAATACGCTCCTGCTGGCGCATCTGTTAAACAGTTTGCACATTACGGACAGTCGATTCAATCAGGTTGATACTCAGTAATCAAGCCTACAGGTGAATAGAATTTTATAAAGTTTATCTCACCATGTGTTTCCTTCTTTTACAGGCAAGTTTCGGAAATTTGATTATGGCGCTGCCGGTAACATGAAAAAATATGGCCAGGAACAACCTCCTGAATATAATCTCGATAATGTCTTGATACCAGTGGACTTATATTATGGCACCAATGATGTAGTTGCCACTCCTCAGGTTTGTATAGCGTTGATATAGCGAACCTTCAATGGATCTCGAATTTTTCAATATTTTCAATATTTTCTTCCCTGTCAATTATTTTACAGGACATTCAGGAATTGTACGAGAAACTACCCAATGGTCAGAAATCTTTGATAGAATCCAACAATTTCGCACACCTTGATTTCCTGTGGGGAAATGATGTAAAGTCTTTGGTATACAATAAAATTCTGAATTTCATAGAACAACATAGAAAATAGATATTATTTATAAATATTTTGCAAGTAATTTATGTTTAACGTTCGCTTTTCTATTCTTTTTCTTTTCACAATGTTGTTATTGTTTGTGTTAATAAAGTTAAAAGTGAATACGAGTTTCTTTTTGCCGCTCTTTCATTACATCTTGCTTATATAGTGTTTTCTGCCAAGCCAAAATGGCTTGAACTTTGTCTAAACGTAAATGTATATCTATAGGAAGTTTGACTATTTTCGTATACAAGTCTATGAGTAGAAATCACAGAAATATTTGATCGGCCGTGGCGATAAGTTCCCGATATGTTCATTATAAATCTTTTCAAAAAATTCGGTTGAGTAGAAAGTAATTTCGTGTTTTGGTGCAAAAATGAAACCACCTTTTGCCATTTTTGAGATGAAACTATAATCGCGTCACTATGGAACTGTGATTTTCACAGTCTACTTTACACCATTAAGAGTGTTTTGTAGAGATCGAAACAAATGATAGTCTGATGATTCAAGGTCTTTTATGGTGGATGCATTAAAACTTCCGAGCCAAGCTCTCCCAATTTTTGACGTAGTTGCAGAGAAATTCGATTCATTGTTTATTGTATATTTATTTATTTTGATTACAATTATTATTAATTATATTAGTTACAATACTTTTACTTTGATTAATATACAATAAACAAATATTTTGATTTTGAATATTTACAAATTTAGAAATTAACTGATAAATAGCAGATTTCTTCGAATTAATATATTGATGTTCTTATTTATTCATATTTATTTGCTTCAAAACCGTGCAGATAATTAATTAAAGATTTATACTGAGCATTAAAAATCCACAGTTCAATTGTTTGTGCATTCTCTCCATGCAGAAAGGCAAAGAACTGAAAATTCATAACAAAAAAACGCATTCGGTACAAGTTATACATCGTAATATTAGTAAAAGATTTACCTTTCTAATGATATGCACGCTGGGACAAAAAAAAAAATAGTACGTTTGAAAATTATTAAATTTTTTCTTATTAAATGGATGATACAAATTATTTCTTATATGCATCTTTTCATAATTTTTAAATAACACAAATTAAACTTTTTGCAATACATTTTGCGTTAAAAAAGAATAGCAATTCTTAGAGAGTCAAAATGGTGATACATTATGAATAGCAATAAAAGAAACGGGTTTGATAGTTGTCTGTAGGGCAGCTATTCTTTCAGGCAAAGATTTACATAGTTTTTCAATGATTTTTTGGTTTAGTTCTTCCCACAACTCCAGAATATATTTTTTAAATTCATTAATATTTGCGAATTGTCTTCCATTCCGGTATACGGACCTCCCCAAAGTCCTCCAACAATTTCTTACAATAAATCCGGAGACGGCTGGTTAAAATACGAATTTTCTTGTTTGCAAAGTATTTTTTTATTGCTATCGCGGTGTACATGGCCATGTTATCATGTGTTTAAAAATATACTTACTTCCGGCATTTTGTATCGCATACATGTTAATGTGTGCATTAATCATTTCAATATATTGTTTACTACTCAATTGTTCTGTAATAAATTTTATTTCCACTTTACCGTACTAATCAATTCCTCCTCAAATGATTATGCGGCCGCTTCCCATGCGATTGCGCAACATTTAGATTATCGTTTGTACTTTTGAAAAATTGCACCTCGGTAATGACATTTAATATACTACACATGCATTCAGCACTCCAAGAATACTGATAATAATATAATAATATAATAAGCTACTGATAATAATATAATAAGCTACGTATTCTCTCAACGACACATAATATAAGAAAATGTATTACATTTGGAATGTTTTACATTTTTGTCTTAGGGAATACACACAGTATGTCCATTTTAACAACGTGATTATCTTTCAGTATGAGAAATACGAAAATATTTTTCACACAAATATTGTATGTATTGGTTTTTATTAACTTGGTTTTTTTTTTCGAAACTACCATGATAAACAAAATTCGATCGCAATAAATATGATTTACTATTGGATGCAATAGTTGTAAATTTTTAGAGTTAGTAACTCGACAAAAGTTCTTGAAAAATAAATAAAAATAAAAATAAAAAAAGTAAAAAAAACGAGTATCTGGTGTTTTAAATGTCTTTATGTTTTTTTATAAGAATATGCATCAAAAAAATGTAGCGTCTTATTCATACATTTAAACGTATCTAAGTCATTAATTTATACTTCCACGAGATTCTCTGTCGTTCACGAGAGCTCAAAGTCGAACGATTATCATATGTCATCTTCGATAACTTACATTTTTCAGATGAACTATTTCTTCGCACTTCTGATACAGAAATAACATGTAGGAACTTGGAACGAACATAGTGTATATTTTTAATCGACGATTGGTCTAATCGATAATTGATAGCGATATAATTCGCTATTTTTTGATATAGAAATATACCATCTGAGAATATATAAATAAGATGTTTCGTTTATCTCATAAAAAATTAAGATTATAATAAAAATGTTCGTACAAAAATGGCAAATTATGCGCTAATCTGGGTGCTATAGATTGCATGTTCGAGATGATTTTTCTAATGATACTAAACAAATTTGAATGCATTGATTTATTA